CAAGCAATCTCATTTTTAGGGAGCATTTTCCTTTGATCACGGAGATGATGAGGACTTCGAAACGACTCCAGTATCGCAGAGACGAAAGCCGATATCAAGTGAAGTAAGCACTCCGACATCAGTGAAAACACCCCCGCTAAAGGGAATGCGAATCAAAGTAAGGATTTCGAGTACCATAATTACTTGTGTTCAAATTCTGTATGAAAAACACCATTATTCTACAAAATTAATTTAGGGCTTATCGACACTGACCGACTCTGGTGAAAAGGTTTTGGGTCCAACATTCATGAGTGCAATAAACGGGTATGCCGAAAGGAGCCAAGATATATTCAGTCAGGTATGTAAATCTTGCTTCCGCTAAATGTACTTCTTTTTTGTTTTCTTACGGCAGATGTCGTTAATATACTGCTGTATCATTCATTATTCTTGATGTTTGTTCGAACCTGGTCATTTTTCAGCTTGATAAATATAAGTATTTGCCACACTATATGCTTGATTTTCACCTCAAACCTATCGAGATTCCTTCCTTTACCTTTCCGATCTCCATCTCAAGTTATTTTCCGTATCTGGAACTTGTTTTTATCGAAAAATCTATCTAAGTAAACGAGGAAATCCACTCAATCCAATGATGCGTTTTCTCTTCACCCCGTCGAACAAAGCTCAACCATGCATCCTCTCAATGTCTGCGTTTTACTTGATCCAACTGATTGTTGTTTCTTCTGAAAATTCTGAGCTTTCTTGCTTGAGATTGGAGTGAAATTTCATTTCGCACTTCAGGTGCTCAACAAAACTGCTCCGAAGGCTCAAGCTCTACGTGAAAGGACAATGAGACCTTTGGCTGCGGCAGCGGCGACAAAAATGGAACAGAGTCAGCATCTTGTGAAGAGCAAAACAGCAGGAAATCAGACTAGCTCACAAGCAGCTTCGCAACAAAGGTATGGTACCTATAACCTGATATAAATTTACAAAGTTGGTCAGTTTTAGTAAAAACCAGCAAACAGTCCGAGAAATCTGTGACCAGGTGCTGTCTGGGCAAGGCGTTGGCGTGTTCACTTACCCAAAATTGAAACGGTAGGTAGACCGTCGTTAATTGACTGCGAATAGATAACTTCTGGTTACAGGTTAATGGAAGACGAGAGCCTGAGGGAGCTGGTTTGTTCGAAGCTGAACTTAGGCTTGGAGCATCGTTTGACGGACGAAGATTATGTAAAAGAAATTGTTAGTTTTTCAGAATCTTGCAATTGCTAATTCTTGCAATAACTAAGGCATTTTTAGGCATTGAGTAGAGTTCAATACAAGGGTTACGTCCGTGTTCTGCAGGCATGCATTGCAGGGATTGAGGTACCGCTAGTTGTTTTGATATTGTTTGGATATATGTTTACCTTGTTCAGGTATCCTTCAACACCCCTGGATGCTGCGGATTGGCTAGCGTGTTCCATGTACTAGAGATAGCTCACACACACTATTGGTGCAAAGGTAGCGACATCGCATCTCCATCCAGTTCCACTCCAAGCACAGTGAGTTCATGTTGTATTATATTTAATTTGACCATGGAAAATGGTTTTGTACGTTTTAACAGATTCTAGTGGAAAATCTGTGAGCATATCCGTAAGTTATGTGATCTAGTTGGAAAAGAGATTGAGATGTGAAAAATTTGTACAGCATTAACACCATTGAATTCAATATTGGAAGAGTAGTTCACATGAATAAGCCTCTTACACATTATCAAGAGACCTCCGATCGCATATATATTGATCGACATAAATATACC